AATGTGTAGTGTATTGACTGAATAACAGCTGGGTAAGGCTAACTTTAGACGTTCTTTCTTAAAAGTTATTTAGTTCTTACAACAGTAAATGTACAACTATATGGATAATTTCAGCAACACTTTGAGTGAAAATTGATACGTTTATAAAACTAGAACTATTGGTCTGTTATCTCTGTCTTCATCTTTTTCATAGCTTCTCTTGCCTGTTGATTTATTTTCAGAACAGGGAAGTGGCCTCAGGGACTAATGGGATACAGAGAGGCCAGATACCGTGTGGGTTTACAACTCCGGAACATTTCAACCAAGTCCTTCTTTTCCTTTTCCTAGGCCTCACCCATGTCCTCTGTTCAAAGTTCTATATTTTAGTCCTGTTCCCAGTAGAAACATGGATTCCCAATCTTAAATCCCCTTATGGTCTCACTCTTCCTCCTCCATAGATATCTTTCCAAGACTATGTAATAGGCAAAGGCTAGGAAGATGATTTTGTGTTCCAGTGCTGTGTGATCAGCTGGGTTCCTTGGGAGCCTCAAGGGCATTAGATTAGAATAAGACCTTCATAATCTTACCTTTGCTCTACCCCATCCCAATATACATCTACATGTATATTAATTTTAATTTTGCTTATTTCCTCCAATGTTAGGGAAGTAAGCCAACGAGCACAGTAAAGTAACAATAAAGGCATAATTCCCTAGAGACTTGGAAAAGACATCATTCGTTGCCTCATTATGGCTGCTAGTCAGCCCCTTTGATGTAAAGCATCTGTCCTCTTCAAGGAAATGAGAAAGGTCTGGTTTTCCTTTCTAGTCTGTGAGGAGCCACAAGCCCCATGTTACTGGGTTGCAAGCTGCTTGACTGCCTTTGTTAACATGCTGAAAATTTCATCGGCTGTCTTTAATAAAAGAGGATGTGTGTGAGGGAAGACATCAGCAGATGTGGTTGGGTTTCTGTTCCCCAGTCCATGAGTCATAGCTGGCAGAGAGCAATGACACTACTATGTAATCAGACAGCCAGTCAGTCACCTGGACTTCTTGCATTTCAGTTATATAGTGAGGCAGTCTTTAAATCTGTTTAGAAACCCTTACATGCTCTTCTTTGGTTATGAAAAGGCTTTTCATTCCCTCTCCTTCTGTCTAACAATATTTAGTCATTTATGGCTTCTGTTAATAAAGTTTCGTTTGAACATTTATTACCTTAAATAATTACATGGCCAAGAGAAGAATTCTACTTTATGGAAGGGTAGACATGTGATCTGATACACTTTTGTTCTGTAGGAACTTCATCTCAAAAACCCTAAAAGGATATAATCTAGAATCTGGAAATAACCTCTAGAACCATGCTTCTCCAATTTTAATAAGCATACAAAGCATCGGGAGACCTTGTTGAAATTCAGATTCTGAGTCAGTAGGTGGCAACTGAAATTCTGCATTTCTGTCAAGCTCCCAGGTGATGCCAGTGCTGCTCCTTGCAATTTTTGTAGCAAGGCTAGAAGACCTGAAGGCATTCAGTCCAATGGGCATCCACTAAGCTACCCTGGTCATTGCTGTGGAGGAGAGACATGACAGGCTTCAAAGATAAAGAAGCCCTTGTCTTTGAAGAGAGAAAGTAACCCTATAATAAGGAAGTCTTCTATATCTAGTTTTATTCATAAATGTTTAACAAACACATGAAATTTTTTATCAAAATAATGGTTGATACTATCAAAGCAGTTACCTAAGTCAGTGTTACTCTTACGTAACATTTGAGCACACCAGTATGTAAATTTCATCAGTTTCTCTTTATTCAAATAAGAAGCTATAGTGATGCTTTAAGCATTACATAATATATGTCCATAGGCTTTTAAAATTAAAAAAAAAATTTTTTTACTCTATTAAAATAGACATATCTAAACCAAAATGTTTCATCTGAATGTAGAAATCTATAGCTGCTTAAAAATATTGAATGATGTTCTTAAATATGCACATTTTTAGTTTATTTGGATTTTGACTCTTTAGGGGACACAGTTAATGAGTACATGTGAGCTTTCAAGAGATCGGTTATCCCACATTAACTTAATAATGTCAATTTTTTATTATTTTCGTTTAATGAGTAACACTAATGTGGATAATGCAAAATTAGAATCATTCCAAACACCATTATAATTAGCATTCCAAACTCATTTGGATAACAGATATAACTTCCTAATTGTGTTTTCTTCGAATAATATTAACTTTTTTTCATCACTTGATAGCAGAACGGTGACTTCAAAGTAGTCTAAGGAGAGATGGACCCCAGGCTGCAATTTAGTAACAATAGTAAAGCCTATTTATGTGGCTTGGTATGCACTTCACCACCTGTTTTCACAGCTATCTTTTCCAGGTTTAATCTAAGAAAGGTTACAAACCTAGTATAGGCAGAGCCAGTTCACACATCCTCAGCACTTGGACTCAGTGGTCGGTCATTCAGGCATATTGACAAGAAGATCCTACTTTGTGTGTTTGAGATGATGAGGAGGCAGAAAAGAAGAGGGAAAAGACAATAATTTTGTATCCTCATGTAATCTCATTAACAACCCTGTGAAGCAAGTACTGTTCTCATCCCGTTTCCAGAAGAAACTGTGGTCTCAGTGCTTCCCAAGTGCACATGTCACTGGAGCAGAGCTGGCATTGGAACCTAGGCAGTGTGATTCTGTAACCTCTTGAGTGTTTTTAATAATCCCCTTGAGTTGCAATTATAGTTAGGTACAGACTCTGATAATAAAGTGGTTCAAGAAATAACCACTACCCCACAGAGCCATCTGGTTTCTCTCAGCCCCATCACTGGGCCTTTTCTAGTTCTGGTTAGTAGGGAGTGGTCTCCAGCTGTGGTTCTCCCTCCCCATTTCCTCTCTTCCCGCTCAGGATAGCAGGAAGTCTGAACATTTTATCTACTTACCATCTCCAGTAAGTCAGGCTGTGAACACACTTCGCCTTCAATTTAATAGCCGTTTATTGACAGTCTTGCTAAGCTCTGGGAGTGGACATAATTCAGAAATGTGTCCCAGCATCAAGAAACTCAGTATAACAATGGGTGGTATGATAACAAAGTTCTTTTAGGAAGACAGAGTAGGTGGTGTTATTTTAGGTTTCCAATGTGGAGCTATTCACTGCTCATGTAATTTAGAGCTATGTTTATTTGGATTGGTGTTTAAAATTAGAAGTTGACCATCTGTATTTTTCTTGATAAGTATGGAGTCATCCTAACCAAAAAGTTTTCAAAGGTCAGGAATAGCTCATATTTGCAACATTGTTTTTGGAAAAGAAAAAAGGATACAGAAGAGTCGGAAAATAATACCCAGCCGTTGAAGACTTAAGACAACTTTGGTATACATCCAAAGAGACATGTTATGCTGCCATTGAAATAAAAATTATAAAGTATGTATAACAACATAAAAATCATAAACATGCATGTGATAGACCTCAAGCAAAATGAGACAAGAAAAAGTGAACTTGACATTTGTAGAGTGTTTATTATGTGCATGTATCAATACTGTGCTACATTTATTTTCTCATTTTATCTTTCTAACAACATGCAAAAGAGTTGATGTTTATTCAGTATTTCATAAATGAAAGAACTGGGACACAGATATGTTAGGGGACCTCACCAAGGTCACAGCCGGTGATTGAGCAAGAACTCAAATCCAGGGCTTCCCTGTTGGCGCAGTGGTTGAGAGTCCGCCTGCCGATGCAGGGGACACGGGTTCGTGCCGCGGAGCGGCTGGGCCTGTGAGCCATGGCCACTGAGCCTGCGCGTCCAGAGCCTGTGCTCCGCAGCGGGAGAGGCCGCAGCAGTGAGAGGCCTGCATACC